CGCGGGAAGGGCGGGCCGCGAGCGGAGCCGCGGCGGGAGGCGGATCGGGAACGCGAACGGCCACGCCTTCTAGGTTTAAGGAAACAGGAGCCCCCAAACCACGGCGCCTTCGGTGCTGAATCCCCAGGTCCTCTGGGCGGGTGGAAGTCCTCCGGCGCCCTCTGTTCTTCCCAGGAGCCGCCAAGGGCGCCAGACGGACGGCACGGGGGGGAAGGTGAGGAAGAGCGCCCGCAAGCCGCCTCCGGACTCGGGCTTTTCGGGCTTGCGGCTCCGCGGCGTTATTTTGCGTGACGGCGGACTCTCCCGCCTCACGAGACCCTTCCGGGAACGCTTTGCAAACGGCCCTCGACGCTCTGGGTGAAAGAGGAGGTCAGGCACCAGTCCGTGCCAATCACCAGAAACTCAACGACTTGACAACTCCTCCCAAAAGAGGACGTGCGAAGAAGTGGAAGGAAAAGAAAGTGAAGATACTCTCCGTACTTTGACCGGGAAATTACTCCCTGTAAATATTTAGAAGACAACCGTGAGGCAGAGTAAGAACAGGCTAGGCGCCCATCCCGTCTCCAGCTTCGCTTTTAATTCGGTCTTCCGCACGGAATTCGGGACAGTGGTCAGTTCTGTAAGAAACACCTCTGAGCCACAACAAATAACTCCAGATTCCGCTCACACCTACCAGTCGCTTTCCCTACGAGGGGGGCAAGCCGAAAAGAGACGGATTTAATTGACTGTTAATCACTGAATTCCTCACTCTAATCCTTCTTTTAATACAGTTGCGGTGTTCAAAATCCCAAGAATCAAAATTTGAAAAGCAAAAGCTGACCACAGACCAAAAATGGAAACTTCCAGGACATTATATTTTCGGGTCTAAATCCTGCCTAAAAAGTATTGATAATTATTGAAGTACATGGGGGTTAATTATACAGGTCTCTCAACTTGTGTGTGTATTTAAATATTTATATAATATTACTAAATTGCTGGTTAAAATGATGGGGAGAGGGACAGCTCCAGCATTCCTTTCTCAAGACTAAAATTGGGGTTGGTAACTCCAGTCTCCCACTGAGAACCAGTTACCTCCCCTGAATATCACAAACTCATTCCTAATCTCTTCTGGGAAACTAGAAAGGGCAAGTTGCAACATCAGGCAGTTGAAGTAGTAAATGCTCTGACTAGTTTACCTTTATGAATTAAGGAACCAAAAGATCATTGACACCAAGTTTCAGATACAATTATAGCAGAAAACATGCCAGCCCTTTAGGTTAGAGTCACAAGTATAGACATCGTTAGAAGACCTTATTGGGATGTAAAATGGCCCATAAAAACTGAATTTATTCTTCATCAAATTCCAAGAAAAAACTAATTTTCTACTCCAGAGCCAGAGATTAGGATGTGCATTTCCTCATCTTAATGCAATGCTGCTAACCAAGCTAACTGCTTGGGAATGAAAGGTTATTCTCTCTGCTTTTCCATTTGCAGCAGATGAAATACACCCAGAGAAACGTACCCAACTTTTGGAAGCCCCCTTACTCTTAGGTCTGCAGTCAAGTCTCCAATTACACAGGTTTAGGAATTATGAACTGTATCTGGGGGGACAGTATGTGTGGGTGTAGATTAGGGGAAGAGGAAAAAAGAAAAATTCATACAAAGAACAGACTGGAAATTCTTCACAAAAACTCCTCTTTCACACGCTTCCCAGATTTTTGGCTTCCACCTTTCCCGTTTCTATATTTAAACTGCCACTGACATCTACCTTCAAAGAATTTCATTTGTGTCAAGAATAGGTATGAATGGCACTCACCTAGAAGGATTTGTCCCACCATATGCCTTCCTAACTTTAAGTATAACATTGCATTCTTTGTTTTGTTTTGGGGTTTTTTTTGGGTTGGAGTCTCACTCTGTCACCCAGACTGGAGTGCAGTGGCCGCTCCCGGCCACCGCAGCTTCTACCTGCTGG